CTCAGCATCACCCCAGGCTCCTGAAGAAAGACAGTGACCCCCCCGTGGGGGATGGGGACCCCCCCTGAAGTCTGCTGGACCCCCAGACACTGAGAGCGCCAGCGTCTGACCTACCGCACAGTGACAGTCTGCCGTCACACCAGGAGGACACAGGCTGTGAGCGAGCATCAGTAAGGACATGCGGCAGACACGAGCCCGGGCCTGCACACTCGGGCCCTCAGATACAGAACGGAAAGTGAACGCTGCAAAGTGTGTGAAGAGGTGAGAGCTGGCATCCGCCTGTGAGGGCAGGACCTGATGAGGGCTGCAGTGCGTACAGGCGGAGCAGGGCTGCGGCCCAGGGGCCTCCCAGGCTCCCCCTGCAGGGGCCTCTGCACTGGGGCGGGAGCGTGCTCCAAGTAGGATGCAGAGGGAGGAGATTCCTGGTGGAGGCTACCTGGGCAAGGTTACCTGGGGGAGGTTACCTGGGCGAGGTTACCTGGGCGAGGTTACCTGTGGGAAGACACTTGGTGGGGAGGTTACTTGGGGAGAGGTTTCCGGGTGGGAGGGAATTGGGCAGGTCCTCTGGCAGATGACTAGTCCCTAGGTGACCTGGGAGGGGTCACATAAAGTTATCCAGTCCAAACTCTCCATTTTACATAAGGAGACTGAAAAAACAGAAGGACTCATCCTGGCCTCCAGATGAGGGCAGGTCTGGGACAACAGTCTCCTCACCCCAGGACTGGGCTGTGACCAGGACTTGGGCCTTGGGGTTCTGTGTGACACGGGCCCCTAGCTAAATTTCGGTCGTGGAGCATGAACTCCGACATGGGGGAAGGGACAGCTTCTCAGTATCCCAGCAGCCTCTCGGAGGAGGGGCTATTTGATGGACGGGCATGGAGGGATGCGTGGAAGGCCACAAGGCGGGAAGTCACACTGGCTAGGAGGGATGCGTGGAAGGCCACGGGGAGCGAAGCAGCACTGGCTAGGAGGGATGTGTGGAAGGCCACGGGGAGCGAAGCAGCACTGGCTAGGAGTGGCCATGTGTGTGTGAAGGGTGTGTGTGTGCGTGCTCAGTCTTGTCTGATTCTTTTGACCCCGTGGACTGTAGCGCGCCAGGCTCCTCTGTCCATGGGATTCTCCAGCCAGGAATACTGGAGCGAGTTGCTATTTCCTCCTCCAGGGGATCTTCCTGAGGCAGGGATGGAGCCTGTGTCTCCTGCATTGGCAGTCAGGATCTTTACCGCTGTGCCGCCTGGGAAGCATTTGCAGGCACCACCTTGTCCAGGGGCAGCACAGCACCATGGGGCCAGGCCAGACCCTGCCACTTAGGTCCCCCAGTGACCTGCTCCAGCTCCACCCCGCCCCCATCCATGCTGGGGTGTGTGCCCTGGGCTGCCTTCCGGTTCTCTGAGACCCACTTCCTGGGCAGAGACACGGGGAGCCCACCTGAGTCTGGGGAGCGTCTGTCCACACCTAAACCCCTGGCCTTGCCTGTGGCTGCCTGAGGCCGAAGCTCGGGGCTGGGTGGGTTACACCCTTGGTTACATGTCAGTGGGAGACCCTGTGCTCTGGGGCTGGAGACAGACCTGGGGGCCGTTCCGTCCTTGGTAGGACCGTGGAGACAGCCTTACGCCCGCACTCCAAGCGCTCAGCTCCTCCACAGTGCCACCATGTGGGGGCTTCATGTCAGGATGCCGCCCTTGACGAAACCCTATCAACTGCACCTGCCCCTCACCGGGGAGGCAGGCTTCGAACCCAGGCCTCCTCGAGCACCAGAGCTTCCTGATTTCCACCACGTACTAGCCAGCAGGGCTGTGGCGCGTCTGATGGGAGGGCAGCGCTCTGGGACGGGGGGTGGGGGTGGGGGCTGGAGGAGGGGGTCTCCTGAGTGCAGCGTGGCTGCCGTCTCAAGGAAGAAGTCAGGGAAAGAGTCTGCAGAGACACGGATCTTCAGTTGCGAGAATCTGGCCAGGAGGAGGTTTGGGAGGAGCAGGACCTGGGACCAAATACCCCCTTCTCCCTCTGGACCAACCCGCGGGTCTGATTCATTTTGGAAGAAGCACATTTGGGGGACGAGATGTACCAAATGAAACAAGTGATGAGAATGCTAGGGTCCTGGGCTTGCAAATAGCCTGCGTTCTGAATAGGCCTTTTGTTCGGCATGGCCGTAATAAAGGAGGAGGATTGGTAGCAGGTGCCCAGAGAGGGCTGTGACTAAGTGTCAATTCTAAGAGGAGCATTTTAATCGAACATCCATGTAATGTATTTGAATAAAAATGTGTGTTCTTTCACAACCCCAGCTCTCTCTCCCATCTTTCCATATTAATAGATCATTACTACTCCGTGAATGGATGATCATCTTCTGGGAAAACAAATGCCAGGGCATAAAAGAGAAATCATGGCTGTTTAAACTTCAGAAGAGTCATCATCAGGGAAGGGAGCGCGGTGTTCACAAAACCAGCCAGCTCCAGCTTCGGGAGAGGGGATGGGAGGAGCTGGACCTGCATCGTGGTGGGTCCAGCCGCCGCCTGAGCCCCAAGACCCCACCGCTCAGCCCAACCTGCCGGGCCCAAGACCCCACCGCTCAGCCCGACCTGCCGGGGGTACCCTCGGACCCCTGCGGCGCGGGGCTCCCCCAGGGGCTGGATCTGCTGTACAGTCAGCTGCCCCAAGCGGGGCCTGCCAGGGCAGGTACAGGGGAGGGGCTGGCCTGCAGTCTCCTCTGTCCATGGGATTCTCCAGGCAGGAATACTGGAGTGGGTTGCCATTCCTTTCTCCAAGGGGTCTTCCCAACCCAGGGGTTGAACCCAGGTCTCCTGCATTGGCAGTTGGATTCTTTACCGTCTGAGCTACCAGGGAAGTCCACAGTGGTCCTTGCTAGTTATCTATTCACATGTAGTAGTGTGTATACATTAATCCCAATCTCCCAACTTACTGCTCTCTCCCCTTACCCCCCAGAGCCATAAGCTTGTTTTCTATATCCATAATTCTACTTCTGTTTTGTAAATAAGATCATTTGTACAATTGTGTTTTAGATTCCGCTTGTGAGTGATATCATATGATGCATGTCCTCTGTCTGACTGACTTCGCCCAGCGTGATAGTCTCTAGGTCTACCCACGTGTGCACACAGCATTCCTCTGCTCCTTTTCATGGCTGAGTAATACTCCATTGCTCATATGTACCGCATTGTCTGTAGCATCCCTCTGTTGCTGGGCACTTAGTTGCTGCCACGTCTTGGCTGCAGTGAACACTGGGATGTGTACCTTTCCCTGGATCCAGCTCTTGGGGAAAGCTCTTTGTGACTCTGGCTGAGACTGCCCACTTCTGGGCCTCAGTTTCCTCATCCATGAACTAAGGCGATTGTGTTACTGAACCAAACTTGGATCTGCTCTGCTGTGCGCCCTAAAGCCAATCTACTGACTCCAGGCTGTGGTGCAGGAAGGTGCAGCGTCTATTGCCAGGTGCCAAACAAGGAGTCCAGACAGCTTCTGCTTAAAAGGCCCAAAGTCCACGAAGGCTTTCACGGGGACAGTTTTAAAGACCGGGTGAGGGGAGGAGGTTTGCAGGGGATGTGGTCAGCTCGTGAGCATTCTTCCGATTGGCTGATGGTGAGGTAATTGGGAGTCAACATCATCAACCTTCTGTTTCCAACCAGTCTGGGGTCTACATGCTGGTGGGCCGCATTCAGTTTCCACCTGGTGGGCATTTCAGTATTTGCCAAACAGCTCACAGGATGTGGCTCAGAATGTCCCCTATAGTCTTTGAAGGAACTAAACATCCTTCACTGTTTGATGGCTTAACTATTACTGTGTTGTTTTGCTTACTGTTTTCCTTTGTTTCTGCATTCTGTCACTTTTCTGATTAAATTTACTCTTTGGAACTCAGGGGAGGCCTCGGAGGCTAGTTTTTCTACAGGCGGGAGTCAGGTGGAGGACAGGGAGGGCCCAGAGGATCCTGCTTGGTTACATTTGGACTGGGTGATGCATTGATTCCACAACTAAATCAAGCTCCAAGCTAGGCAGGGGGCCGACATCCGTGCAGTCAGGACGCATACGAGTGAAGAGGTAGTGTCTGAGCTGAGAAGGACACATTTCAAACTCACTTGCCATGTTCCTCCTTAACCCGATGTTGATCAACCTAATTGTTCATTTGGAACAAAATGTGTCTGTCCATCCATCCAGGCTTCTGACGGCTATCTGGAACACCAGGGTGTCTGCAGTCCCCCCAGGATGTGGCATGCAGCCCAGTCGTGCATCTGGCTGGGAGGTGATTTATCTTTTCCGCTGGTCCGCAGCTCTAACCGAGTCACTGGTGGTGGAGCATTGGGAATGCCCGGCAGTCCAGTGTGATGTCACCTTGTACACTGCGTCAGGGTTGTCTTCCGAGTGTTTCCTGCGTGTTTGCGGGTGCCAGGTGCGTGGCTGGAGGGGGTGCAGAGGGCCCAGCCCTGAGGCAGGAGGCCCAGGACAGGCAGACCCAGCTCGGGTCCGTCTCACACCCGGGTCCCTCTGCAGGGCCTCCTCGGGCCCCTCCCAGCCTCTAGCTGAGGACCAGCCTCCTCTGCCTCCGTGTCTCTATCCCCTGCCCCTGCATCCAGGCGCTCACAGGAGACGTGCTCGCCAGCGGACGTGTGGCCGAGGGTGCCTGAGCACTTTGATAAGTCATCCTGGGGGGACAGCTGAGGACAGGGAGAGCAGGAGGTCAGACGGGGCGTCTGAGACGCAGGGGAGATCAAGCCTGGGCGTCCCGGCGCGTGTGTTCATCACGTTTCGGCGTCAGCTCCCCCCCACGCTGCCTCATCCCCACTGTGCAGTGGGTGTCTGATCTGACCGGGAAATGCTTTCTGCGAAGTGACACCTTCTCAGCAGAGGACGGGGTGGGCCAGGGAGTGGGAGGGTCCTCTCCAGCCAGTGTCCCCGAGCCTCGGGGATCAGATGGTCCTGGTGGACATGCCTGGAAGCCTGGCGTCTGAGGGTCCCAGGAGGCTGGGGAAGGAGGGGCCAGACCCGGGCGGTCATCACAGCAGCTCTTCAGGGTGAACCCCGTGACGATGAAGGGACCTTCGGTGAGGCCCCCTGAGCTGCCCTGGGGCCCCCAGGTGTGCTCTGACACCAAAGTCCCAGGGCACGTGACTGTCGAGCGTTCCTGCCCGAGCGAACGCTGTGGGGAGACGGTGTGTGGGGACCACATGGCATGTGAGTGCTGAGCAGGGCTGCTGGGTCCTCCGGGAACCGCTGTGGCCGGGGCCGTGGCCGTGGCTCTGGGCTCCGGCGTGGCTGTCGCTGTGTGGACACAGCATCGTGGCCTGCTGCAGGTGGATGAGGGCTGCCTCCCGTGTTCTGGAAGGAGCCCTCAGCTCTGCGGCTTCTCTGCATCCCACTCGGGACCCTGTGAGATGCAAGTGCTCCTGCTACTGAGGGGGTGGCGGCACTGAACACCTCTCCCTCTGCAGGACAGGGTGTCAGGTCCGGCTCAGGGAGACAGGCGGGCGGGAGTGTCTTTCTGCGCCCGAGGTGGACCGAGTCTGGGTATTCGCTGTCTTTGCTTCCTGCTCTGTCTTCCCTGGTGGCATTTTGCATCCCCCCACCCATAAAGCAGATTGGAGTCATGAGCCTCCCTATGAACCTGGCTGACCCCCGACTGTGTCTCTTGCCAGCTCTGGGGACTCAGGTCCCTTCTGACCTCTGGGCCCTGCATCTAGTGATGGCAGGTCTGGAACAGAGCAGAAATCATATGGAAAACACCCCTCATGGGAGAATTGAAGGCCCTGTGGGTCATCAGCCAGCATGTGTCCTTCTCAACAACACCCCCACTTCCAGGCTTCCTGGATCGTTAAAACAATCTCCTCTCAACTGCCCTCAAAGGCATTCAATAACAATAACAAGACAGCAAACCCTAGAACTGCCCTGGGATGGTGAGGACACGGGCCCACGTGGTCCTCACGCACCCCCGAGGCCATCGGTGTCCCACCTCCGAGATGACACCATCCTGATTTCTCTCAGCATCCGTGCCAGACCTTTCACCCTTTAGATGCAACTGCGCCTTCCGGAGCTGCATTGAGTGGTGGGTTTGGCAAATGCTGTGAGCACTCCCATGACAGCCTGATCTCAACCCTGCCGGCTCCTCCATCCCAGCCCAGGTCAGGGGTGAGCTGACCAGTCTACGACAGGGGGTGGGGGGCTGCAGGGGTGACGCCCCTTACTGCGGGCAGCGCCCCTTTCCCTGGAGTGATAGCTGAGCGTGTGTTGGCTCCATTACCAGAGCTTGGAATCATCTAAATTATTCCAGTTTTATGTCATCTTTACCAGAGGCTTCAAAAAGAAAACTGGTTAATTCCAATGATAGTTTAATCATTTTCATCTAATTCAAGGCATCAAAAGAAAGCTTTTGAAATTCTTCCCATTGCTAGTAAAACACCGTTCCTTTGGTGAAGCTGGTGTCATGGTAAAAGCAATGTTCTTTGAACAGACTTGCAGACATAGAGAACAAGCCGGTGGTTACTAACGGGGAGAGGGAGGGGAGCAGAAGCTACCAACTATTGGGTATAAAATGAGCACAACATGGGGATGGTAGCCAATAGTTTACAATAACTGTAAATGAATTACAACCTTTAAAGGGATTTCCCTGGTGGTCCAGTGGTTAAGACTGCACCTTCAAATGTAGGGAATGTGGGGTGAATCCCTGGTCAAGGAACTAAGATCCCACACGCCTCAAGGCCAAAAAACGAGAACAAAAAAATGGAAGCAATATTGTAACAAACTCAATAAAGACCTTGAAAAATGGTCCACATCAAAAGAAATCTTTAAAAAATGGATTATAACCTTTAAAAATTGTGAATCACTATATGATACATGTATAACTTACATCAAGTAAACCTCAATAAAAAATTAAGGGAAAAAAAAAACAATGTTTTTTTTTTTTTTTAAATTAAGTGCAAAAATGGGCTAGTGTTCCGGTGATGCATTCAAACAAGCTGCCAAGGTCTGCCAGCTGAACAGAAGCAGTGGCTGTCAGCATCTGTTACGTGTGCGTCCAGACTGACTTGAAATAAACAACTTGGTGATGAAGTTAAATTCTAAAGAACCTACAGTTTAATTTTGTCAGCATGGTGGACCTTTCTTTTGTTTTTCTCATCATCAACCAGATTTGAAAAAAATGTTTGAGCCTTTACTCAAAATATCAACTCGCTTGTCCTCTAGTAGTACTAAACTTTCGTTATAAACAAATCCTCTAGATGTTAGATGTGATTGTACAAAATAAGTTGGAAATCTTTAATTGAAGCATTTGATGGATGGAAGCCACAAAATGTCAGTTATGAACATTTTTCGCCTATTGTGATGATTTACAAACAAAGCTTTGGAAGTGGAAGACAGTGAAATTTATCCCTAAGGAAGGCTGGGGGAGTTGGATGTGGTATAGGGTGAAGTTCTGTTTTCATTTTGAGATTTTTGTTTAAACCTTGGCATGCCTGGACATACCAGGAGGAATCTTTAAGTGACACTTCTGTGTTTATTCAAATAAATAGAGGATGTGGGCAGGGACATAACCTACCAGAGAAGGCCCAGGCTAAGATGATACAGAGTCGATGTTCAGTAAAACATAAAAAGAATCGTGAATAGAGATGATGCATTTGATAAATTTTGTCATGAAAAATATGCGCTGAGACACGATACCCTGAATGGAGGCAAAAGGGTCTGTGGCAACATTGCTGCTGGAATCTCTCCACATTTTGAGGCCAAAATACCAGAACTGCACACTCTCCATTTCACAGACTTTACTGTGAACTCACCAGGTGCTTCAACTCCCGTAGAGACAATATTTTTAAATTGAAAACATGCCCTATTGAGGGGACTCAGGTGGAATGTTAACAATTTAAAAATGCGATTTGAAGACTGTTACAAGCAATTTTAGAAAACATTTTAAGCAACATAATCATATTAAAAATCCATTCTTTCAAAAAATTCTACTGACCCAGTATGGACACGCAGAGGAAGGAAAATGACAATAGAAAGTAGGTACCAAGAATAATTTTATTTTGGGAACTGTAGTCAATATCTTTTACTTACTAAAGGAAAACAATCTGAAAATGAATATATTAAATAACTATATGAAATCACTTTACTTATACCTGAAACTAACCCAACATTGTAAAGCAACCACAGTTTAATTTAAAATAAAGAATAATTTATTTTTATTTTTAACGCTTGGATAATACAAAATTTTAAATACTAATGTAGCTAGAAATCCCCATTTTTCTCTATTCTCCCGAAACGCCTGTCATTTTTCATATTTCTTTCTTATTTTTCAATGAAATATTGAGTAGAATCAAAATGATATCCATGCAGTAGCTGTAGCGTACCCAGATAAACACGCCAGGGTGCCTGGCAGTAAGGAAGCACGACCTTGGGGAGTCACCTGTGACCTTTGCAGCCCTGCTTCCCTTGTGGCTCAGCTGGTAGAGAGTCCGCCTGCAGTGCAGGAGACCGGGGTTCGATCCCTGGGTCGGGAAGACCCCCTGGAGAAGGGAACGGCTCCCCACTCCAGTGTTCTGGCCCGGAGAATCCCGTGGTCGCACAGAGTCGGACACAACTGAGCGACTTTCACTTGCTTCACTTTGCAGCTGCGCCGACTGCCCTAGCGTCCCGCCCAGGCCCCCTCCCCCGAGAGGTAGCTGCCGCCCTGAGTTTCATATTCATCCCTCCCTGACTTTGTTCCTAAGTTTACACCTGCGTGCCTGTCTGCAGCACATTGCCGTTTGGCACATCTTAGACTGTACATAAGGGGATCGAAGGCGCCCACTGTCTGATGGTCCCTCCCTGAGGACCTCCCAGCGGTCCAGCTGTCCACACCCTGGCTCCTCACTCCTCCCTCAGGAGGGGGATCCCGCTGTAGAACCAACCGGAGCAGAATTGGACCCGTCCTTCCTCCTCCTGCTGCACGCTCTGATTCTCGATCTGTGTGGCTTGCTCTCCTAGCGGGCACTGGACGCTGCCCATCACTGGTGGGAGTGTCTCCTAGCGGGCACTGGGCGCTGCCCATCACTGGTGGGAGTGTCTCCTAGCGGGCACTGGGCGCTGCCCATCACTGGTGGGAGTGTCTCCTAGCGGGCACTGGGCGCTGCCCATCACTGGTGGGAGTGTCTCCTAGCGGGCACTGGGCGCTGCCCATCACTGGTGGGGGTGTCTCCTAGCGGGCACTGGGCGCTGCCCATCACTGGTGGGGGTGTCTCCTAGCGGGCACTGGGCGCTGCCCATCACTGGTGGGGGTGCTCCCACGGTGTGGGCCCTGGGTGCTTAGCTGCAAGTCTGTGTGTCTTTAACTTCACCAGGAGATGCCAGCCTCTTCTCCTGGTGGCCGTGCCAATGAAACGCCCGCCGGCGGAACAAAGACGGCTGTTCTCTGACAGAGACTTACATTTCTTTCCAGTTTAGCTGGTGTGAGTTCACATTATTGCTTCTTTAAACTTATATTCTCATTGTTTTTTAATGAAGCCAACATTTAGTCTCAAGTGTTCCGTGTCCCTTCTGATGAATCTTTGTAAAGCGCAGCTCTGCTGGTGGCGTCTCCACCCCTCCCTCCCCAAGAAACCCTGGTTGTTTAATACATTCCTATCATGACGTGTTCCCTCTGTTGAGACTCACTTCTCACTCCTTCATTGACACTCCTGAAAATGTCTGTCCGCTGAGCTGGCCCTTCCCTGCTGCCATGTCCTCTTTCCTCCAAGCCTTTGCCTATGTTGTTTGCTCTTGCGGAACTTCCTCCTCCTCCTTCAAGTCTCAGTCCAGGGTCTGCCTTCTCCAGGAAGCAGTGTGTGTGTCCATGTGTGTATATGTGTGTGGTGTGTATGTGTGTGTGTGCGTGGGGTCTGTGTGTGTGTGCTGCGTGGATGTGTGTGTGGCATGTGTTTGTGTGTGCACGTATGTCTCTCTGTGTGGTGTGTGGATGTGTGTGTGTGTGTGTGTGGGGACCACATGTGTGTGGTGTGTGGATGTGTGTGTGGCATGTGTATGCGTGTGCATGTATGTCTCTGTGTGTGGTTGTGTCTGTGTGTGGTGTGTGGTGCCTGGATGTGTGTGTGTGTGTCTGTGTGTGTATGTGGGTCCGTGTGTGTGGTGTGTGTGGCATGTGTATGCGTGTGCATGTATGTCTCTGTGTGTGGTTGTGTCTGTGTGTGTATGTGGGTCTGTGTGTGTGTGGTGTCTGGATGTGTGTGTGTGTGTCTGTGTGTGTATGTGGGCCCATGTGTGTGGTGTGTGTGGCATGTGTATGCGTGTGCATGTATGTCTCTCGGTGTGCAGTGTGCATGCATGTGTGTGTCTGCATGTGTGTGGTGTGTGGATGTGCGTGGCATGTGTATGCGTGTGCATGTATGTCTCTGTGTGTGGTTG